GGAGTGGGAAAGAGGGACCTGCTATTGAGCAGCAGCTCTGACTCAGCATGGGCAGCGACAAGTGCAACAGCGGCCAAAGCCCCTCACATACAAGAACAGCCCTCAGGGAGTGTGAGCGGCCAGGAGTGTGGGCGAACAGGGCCGGCAAAGAGGGTGCAGCTCATCATTTTGCGTGCAGTTCCCTCAGGCAGGATGGGCAGCCAGGGTGCATTCTCCCAGCTCAAGAGGTAAGTTCAAGACATTCAGCTGGTAAGAGGGAACCTAGCCTAGCCGTGGGTGTACACCCAGTGGAAAGCTGTGTCCTCTGCACTTGCCAGAAAGGAGGTTTCGACCCAGACTGAGCTCCCAGGAAAAGATGCTGCTGTCCAGATCTCAGGCTGCAGTGAGTGCCACCAGCTTGCGCTGGAAACAGATGGCAGGGGAGAGAACAGCTGTGTAAGCTGTGATCAGCTGGACTATCTACTTGTCCTGGTGGCAGAGTTGAGAGATGAAGTAGATGGGCTAAGGAGCATCAGGGAGCGTGAGTGAGAGATAGACTGGTGGACCCATGCTCTCACCTCCCTGAAACTGAACAGGGACGGCCAGCAGCAATAGCCTGTGGTCGAAGGGATCAGGTGTCCCCCCACCAGGAGACAGGCAGGGACTTAAAGGGAAACATTGAGTGGAAACAAGTCTGCAATCAGGGTAGCAAGCGAACCCTCTCCTTGCCCACCACGCCTCCCCAGGTGCCTTTGCACAATAGATATGAGGCTTTAGCTGTGGACGACTGGTCAGTGGAGGATGTGAATGTCAATCCATATGCACCAGAGGAGTTGCAGAGAACAGAAAGACTCACCCCTGTATTACTACCACATCCAGAAGGAAGAATAGCAGGGTCATAGTTTCAGGATACACTCTTCTGAAGGGAAGAGAGGGTCCAATATGCTGGGCAGACCCTTCTCATAGGGAAGCCTGCTGCCTCCCAGGAGCCCAGGTGAGGGACATCACTTGTAAACTTCCTAGCCTAGTGCAGCCCTTGGACTACTACCTGTTACTGCTCTTCCATGTGGGTGCAGAAGAGGTTGCAGTACATAGCCGAAGGGTGATCAAAAGAGACTTCAGGGCCTTGGGGCAGTTAGTGAGGGAATCTGGGGCACAGGTTATTTTTTCTTCACTCCTTCCAGTTGCGGACGGTGATGTTGGAAGGAACAGGTGCACTCAACCTACTAATACATGGCTCCGTGGCTGGTGTCACTGACACAACTTCAGCTTTTTTGGCAATGGGATGGCCTACACAACACCAGGCTCACTGGCATCAGACAGGTTTCACCTTCCTCAAAGAGGAAAGAGGATTTTTGCTCAGGAGCTTTCGGGGCTCATTGACAGGGCTTTAGACTAGATGTGAAGGGGGAAGGCGCGAACACATTGGGCCTGCCAGTGACAAACTATGGGGTGACACACAACGGTTGGAGGGACGGGGTGCTAGTATGGGCCCTCAGCCTGTTGCCCAGAGATGTGCTGGGGACACTCTAGCACAGTCAAAGTCTTGCAGAGATGAGCTGGCAGCTCCTGAGGTAGTAACAGCCAACAAGGAAGCTTCCATAAAGCACCCCCAGGGAAAAAAGGGGTGTTCCTCCCTGAAGGTGACATGGCCAACAGCCCAGATGAAGTGCCTCTACATGAAAGCACACAGCATGGGAAACAAACAGGAAGAGCCAGAAAATCTTGTGGCCAGTTCCTAGCTGACCTCAAAGCTATAACTGAACCTGCCCCAGACGCTCCCACACCTGCTGCTAGTGCTGCAGGTAACGAACTGGTCCCACTTTCCAGCCAAAAGGACTTGCTTTCCACAGACTCAGTTTCTGATATTTTCTTGACACTGCATTTGGCCTAAAATGTTTGATAACCATTGATAAGCCTCACAAGCACTGCTGTGCAAAAGTAATAGCCCCTGGGGTGCAGGGGTGACTGGCACAATCATCAAGATATTTACCTAAAGGAAAAACCCAGGCACCCTGTATCAGGCTGTCTGCTAAACCCCATGGCTGCTCTCACACCTTCACAGTCACTAATTAAAGCTAAGTGCAGAACATAACAGAAACCCAGAAGGGAATAATTACAAAAAGGGTTTCGGTTCTAATTTGTGCATCTCAGTGTATTCTCACCAGCTACTCAGGTACGAAACTTGGCTCCTGTAAGGAGAATGGGGTTGAAACCCTCTTCCACTGGGAAATGAATCTTAGTGTAAAAAGGTTGAAAGGCAAGACATAGCAGAGATACAGGAACTCCACAATAGCACCCATATGCTGCATTTCTGGATAGCTTCGGCAGCAGCAGGGGTCAGGCTGCCCACAGTGGGCTTTACTGATCCCTCAGCCACCCCCATTAGACTCCAAACTACTGAGAACACAACACTTTTGCCAAGGTCAGGCATTTTCACTTCATCACTGCCCACAGCTGCCTTGAAACCTGATTATCACAAAAACCATACACATCATTACATTGCCAAAGAACTGCGATTGCTTAAATAAGTGGTTAGGTAATGCCTACTTACCTCAACAATTTCCAGCTGCTCAGGTTTATCTATGCAGCCATTGCCCTCCTTGACATCTACTTTGAATGTCCACCTCAGCTTGTGTTCCAGTTTTCCTCGCAAAACAAGATTCAAGGCAGCTACGTATTCAAGAAAATCAATGGTATTATCCTGTGGAAACATAAAAGCAGCTGAATGGCACTTAACTGGGTATAGTAGTTAGAAAACTGCTGACAAAACCTAGATAAAACTGCCAAGAAGATACTCCACAGGACTGCTCTTTATTTTACACTTTACAGCAGACTTGTGCCCATCCAAGACCATCAGTAAGAACAGCCATACTCCTCTGCAGCAAGGACGAGTTCCCAAGAAGTGACAGTGGAGAGCAAAGCAGTTTTCCTACAGTGCAATAAGGGGGGACACCTGCCAGGAGTCCAGAAATGAGCAATTTAAATATCCCAGGACAACACAGATTACATGGAGGATGGGGAGGCAGATGAAGATCAGCACAGAAGGCATTGACTTTTTGGGAAGGGATTGCCATTCTCGACAACCTCAGCTGCTTGATTCATGAGACCAAAACCCAACCACTACTCCTTTCTTCCATATTTCCCCCTCGTTTGATCTTGATTCATCTGAGGAAGACAGACAACGAAAAAGTCACCATTCAGGAGGCAGCAGTAAGAACACCCGCAATAAAGGATTTATATCAGGCCTTCATCCTTGTAAACACTTCAGAGATAGTGAAGGGATGCAGGGCTCCCTCAGCAGTCTCCACAGATGGCCCTTGCACAAATCCAGACTATCCCCAGGGCCACACCAGGCCCATGTCACCTCACAGCCCTCCCCACCCAGGAGCTGCTGTTTGGCAAGCATTGCTTACCCATTTCAAGATGAGAAAGGCAACTGTATTACATTTCTTTTGAGTAGCTAAAATATCACAGGGTAGTATAATGGTATCTTTTGCACCAATACGTGGGTATGCATGAACTGCTACTAAACCAAAAAGCCCGCTTTTCCCAGGTGTCTGGTGACAAATACAGCAAACGGAATCAAAACCAGAACATCTGAGTTGTTCAGCATTCTTTCACTTTCAAGCAGCTAAAATCCATATTTTGTTACATGCCGCCTCTTCATACTGCATACCTACACTTCCTTCACTGTATAGCAAGCCTGAGTAGGACTTTCCTCCATTATAATTCCCCCTCTGTCATAACAGATAAATATTTTTCGACATAGTAACCTTGGCTATTTGAGGATCTTTCAACAATACTGTCTCAAAATGCAACTGCCTAAGTTTCAACCTTTTAATCCATCCCTAGTCCCTTAAGGTGACATTGTCCTTAATTTGAGTAGAGATTTATGAGAAGACAAATCCACACCAGCCCTTACAGAATGGCACAGCATGCGCTCTTGCTGCCCTAGCAGGTCCATTGCCCTTGCCTTAGTCTCATAAAGCATATTAACAAGGGTGGGAACTGCACCAAAACACCTCAAAATTACAGAAGGCAGAGGTGTGGATTATTAGACAAATCGCTGTAGAACCTCCTCACCACTTACCCCATTCTTATCAAAAGCTCTGAACATGTTTTCAATGGACTCTGCTGCTTCACAGTTATCCTGGACTTGGAAGAACCACTTGAATTCATGCATGAAGAGGGTCCCACTGGGACATTCAACCACAAATTTCTTATACCATTCCTGCAATTCGGCAACATCAATCTCTGTTTGCTCCCCTTCAGCACTGGTGAACTGCTGTCCTGTTAGGCTCCACAAATCAAGATTAAAAAAAGGAGAAAAAAACAAAACAAAACAAAAACCTCTCCAAAAGTCCACTGCTTCTACTGCCCTTTTGTCACCTTCAGTTGCTTTCCCTTTGTTCTTTTTCTTCTTACTCTCTTGTGACTTTATGTTAATATTGTGGCTTGCAATTTCACCTTCTTTTTTCTTGTTTTACTTTCTTCTTCTTCCTCTCTAAGAGTTTTCACCACCACAGTTTTGTGTGCTCACTTGGTGTCTGTAGAGTTGCTCCTCTGCATTAAGCAGTATAACGTGGTCTCAGGCACGTATAAAAATAACTAAGATCATTAGGAGATTCCCACCTATGAGTCACAGGGACCTTCAGATGGTCTGAGCTGTGCCCTATTTAGCAGCAGCCTCCAGAGGCTCAGGGTCCTTCTGCACATAAACACCTCCATGTCAAAGAATTTGGGAGCTGAGGTTCCCTTTACATACAACGTGCAACTCCACTCACTTTACTCTAGTTTTTCTCGAGAGAAAAGTATTGTAAGTGAACTTCCGTAGCATTAGTTTTTCAATACTGGCATATTCTACCTGCTTGTGGGGGATACTCAGTGTTTCAGTGAAATAGGACATAACAACAAACAACTACAGAAAGCAAATCCTTAAAGAACAAGCCCATATGACTAACTACTCACACGAAAAAAAACTGCTAATGAATCAGGTTAACTGAATGCCTGCCATGGACTTTAGTCTATAAAAAATAATTGAGAAAACTAAATGCATATAGATACAAGTACGCGTGTTTCTCTCATTTTCACAGTTCATTCTTAAAACTCCCAGTTAAAAAAAACAGGAACATTTTATTTCCCTATTTTTTTAAAGCACTTAGTTGTCCTTATTCCCCTTTCCCACCTCTATCTAGCAAAACACTCCTCTTGCTACCCCCTACCACTTTTATTACCAGTACAACACAAGCTCCACGCTGGCCTCTTTCTGTTCCGCAGCTCACTACCCCAACCCTCCTCTCTGTAGGTAGCCCGCCTTCCTCTTCTTTCCCAGAGCCACTGGCTTTTATCCATATACCAGCTGTTTTGAATCCAGCCATTATCTGTACCAACTGGAAGAAATGACCTGTAGCTATAAATGTGTGTGCTTTTCTGCAATGTGACTACACTAGAAGAATAATTGTATAAGAAGCAGCAGCTAAACTGACAGAAGATTTGTGACATTAATCTAATCTTCCAAAGTTATAGTTACCGGGTCAAGGGAGAGAACAAATGCGCATATTCACTCTCATCACTCCCATTCATGCACTTCTTGTGCTCCATGCCTCTGTTGTTGCTGCCACTAGACATGAACTTGTTCCTCCAGCACTGGGGCCACACCTTTTTCTACTTCTGCTGCCTTGTAACTTGCTCTGTGGGATATGACCCTGCTGTGACTTCTAGCAGAACAGAAACTGGAGCAACTCTGTCAGCTTTATGCTTGCTTATCGGTCAGATCTTTGAGTACCTTCCACAGAACAAGCATATTTGGTTTTGTTTCCAAAACCATCAATGTGCTTTCTCAGAATATTATGAAATATAACAAAATATTGTCTGACTTCTGAAATTTGTGTAGATATTCCACAGTGCTGAAACAGTATGAATTAATGGCTTTAGGCACATGGTAGCTCTATCTTGGAAGCGGAACAGATTCATCTGATACTCCAGATAAGCATCAAAACCTCTGTAGGAGTCTGATTCCATTTAAGAGTCCTCACCTGGAGAGAGAGAGACCTCCTGAAACAACATTGTTAACCTGCTGTGTTATAACAGAGATTCAACACACTTCACTTCAGTGCTTGTGCTTCATTTACTGTTGCTTGTTCCATGCCCCAGGATAGACATAAGTCCTTTGAGGCTCCAGAGTCTTCTCCAACACTGTTTTAGAAGGCAGAGAATCAACCTTCTCCTTTAGCTGATGTAAATATTTACAGAAATTTCAGAATTTAAAATGTCCAGTTGAATGACAGCAGGATGAAATTATTCCTCACATGTATAGTTGGCAATTTCAGGTTGTTAGGAAGAAGTTATGTCTTTGTTGAACTATGACATGACTGAAAACCAAACAAAATATTTTCAACATCTACATTCTTCTTTATAATTGATTCCCGGAGAGCAAAAATTCAAGCTTCAAAACCTTCACAAGCAAAATACATTGCAGATAGCTTCTAAAGAAAATAAGAGAGATGTAAGGCCAAGGGCACTATAATTATGAAAAAAAAAATGTGGGCAAAAATATAAACACAGGCTAAGAATAAATCCAAATAGTTTCATGTGTGTCACCTAAATCTCTTTTAGGCTGGGCTGAATTTGAGTTCACAGCAGCTCACTTTATTCTTTGTCCTGCAGGCATTCATTCCATATGGTCTGACAGATCAAGGTTGTCTCTACACAGAAGTCGTAATTAGTATTTTACACGGTTTCCTGAAGTTTTGGGGATAACGTACCTGTGGAAAATAAAAATATTTAAAATGATGTGTTTTACTACCTGAGAAAGCAGATGACACCTGATCTCCTTTCCAGGAAAGAGTAACCAGCTACAAAGTTATTTCTTCATGCCAGCCCGAAGTATCATAAAAACAATGCTTTGTGGCACAAAAAGTATTTGGAAGAGAGAGTGAAAATGTATGTGTTTTTTTTTCCCCCAGCCCATCAGGATATGTAAATGCCTATATATTTTATGACATCCACTCTTCTTTTTTTAATAATTAGAAGTTTTTTTCCCTATACTAACCTAATCTTAAGGGTGATAACTTGAGTCGGTAAGGCATACCAGCTGAGGATTTACTGGGGAGGACACCTCAGCATAATGTGCTGCAGTCATGGGTGCTTTCAGTGTTCCCCGTTGTCTAATTAGACTGAGACTTCTTCTATTTCAGAAATGTAGAACTTTTAAGGTACTTTGAGTGAAAGGAGCTATAAGTACTACAGAAGCTGTTCAAGTACCTGCAACTACTGGGACCTGTACCTGGATGAATACCATTTTAATACTCCTCAGGCTATCAGTTTAATTAAGCTTACTTGTACTCCATTCTGTCTTTCATTTTTTCTCCTTACTCTGGATATTCCCAGTTTCCTCTGGCTGAGCAATATTTTCAAGGATTTTGTTCAGATAACTGGTGTTCTAAGACAAAGACTTCACCTTTTACAGGTCGTAATTTCCAAAATCCTTACTGTCAGCTGTTCATTGCATACTTTGCTCAATTTTTTTTCTGGATTCAACACAGTGTACAGAGTCATAGAATCGTATTATAATACATTCCAAAATTAATTTCCTTAAAGTTGTAGCAGTAGAGAGTGTATTTGAAAAAATAGTGTGAGTATTGTGCTCACATCAGGGAGCTCCTACAGAATTACAGTTTACAGGTCATTCATACTGAGAGTACATGATATGTTGAAGGAGAATATGAAGAGGGAGAGGATTCAGGTGAGAAATTCCCCCTTTTTAGGCAAGAATACACAGATGAAGATTTTAAAAGGTAACGTGTGTTACCCATGAAATGTATGATTCTGAAATACTTGTTAAAGTTTGGCCTGCACATTGCAATTCACTATTTAGCACTATTTAATAGCGACAATAGTGGGCATTACATGAAAAGATAGGACCAGGTGCATGACTTCAAAAAGTGTTTAATTTCCAAACTACATTTCCTTTTTTCAAGATTTCTAAGTTAATTCCTTTCCAATATATGCATTGAAAAATATGAAACCAAGATAATAGATATACTGAGATGGATCATAAAATAATAAGTGAATAATAATGAAGTGATAGAAAAGGGGAACTGGAGTACATCCTTCATCGGATGTCACACTTTGTATCTGTATCACTTGCTCCTTGTGCCCTGAATCGAATGCCTACTTTGCTTCTCTGTAAAAAACATGTTTGAGACTATCAATCACCAGGAAGTGGACAAGTTTTACAAACTTGTGATAGATTTTTGCAGGCTGACAAATTGTTCATCAGTTCCTTTTCATTGAAAGTGCAGTTTTGCAAGCTAAGAAAGCAGGCAATAAAATGGTTATCAGCAGCTCTGCATCCGGAAACCCACCAACTTTCAAAGACTGGAACATTAATTAAATAAGACATTTTGTGAAACGGCTCTTTCTCCAAAAGCTTTTGGTTTGGCAACACTTCTGTATTTACCTTCACCATTTTTCTTTATTTCTTTTATTTTCTTTTTATCAACACATAAACATTTCCCTGATTTTACAAGAGTTAGTTAGTCAGATACTATGTATATTTAGGACTCTTGCCTTCAAGAGCACGTTGATGTACCTCAGTGGTAATGTAGCCCTCAAAATCTCCAGTGTCACTTACTTATTCCTCTGGCGCCTTGTCTTTACTGTGAAAAAAGCACTAGCACATGGAGAAAAACAGAGTGACCAAAGCAGTTTCAGTTCTGATATATAGATGGTAAAGTTTTCCAGTGTGAAAACTGCAGGTTTTCTGTCACAGCAGGATTTTGCCATACATTACATGGTATGCTATGGCTTTTTCTGTACTCTGTGGATTTACTCTTGAAATTCTGATTCTCTATTTCTTTTGCCTCTTCCTCTGGTAGAATGTTAACCATTCAGCAATGCAATATTTCAAGGTTAATTTGAATTTGAATAGCAAATTGGAAAGTGGAAACAATAAATACTGAATAGGGAGAGTATTTTCTTCTCTGCATTTGGATGACAATTGATAAGGACAAGCAGATGTGCAGATGAGATGAGAAAGGGGTAATTAGAATTTAAGATGTTAGCTTATGGGATTTTTTATTTCTGTATTTTCCCCCCACTGTAACAGTCAAACTCAGTTTGCTGGTAATGCTTCTTGTGACACGTCATGTCTCAGTTCCAGATGTAGGAAGAGCAAATTAGTTGTGTAATGGAGGCCTTCCTGTGCACACTGTGATAAGGCTAGGGTGAGCACATGGTGATGGTGGGACAGGCAGACTGCTTTCAGCCAAAGAACAGCGGAGGAGTGTGTGCTCAGGTCTGCCATGCTAGAGGAGAAAGGGAGAGGAGAAGGGAAAAAGGCAAGAGGGTTGATCATAGGATCACAGAATGGTAGGCGTTGGAAGGCACCTCTGGGGATCATCTAGTCCAACCCCCCCGTCAAAGCAGGGTCACCTAGAACAAATTGTACAGGACCTTGTCCAGGTGGATGTTGAGTATGTCCAGAGAAGACTGCACAACCCCCTGGGCAACCTGTTCCAGTGCTGTGTCACTCTCAGAGGGAAGAAGTTCTTCCTCATGTTCAGATGGAACTTCCTGTGCTTCAGTTTGTGCCCATTGCCCCTTGTCCTCTTGCTGGGCACCACAGAAAAGAGTCTGGCCCCATCCCCTTGACACACAGCATTAAGATACTTTTACGCATTTATAAGATCCCGTCTGATCTCTCCACAGGCTGTGCACCTTGAAACAATAAGGACATTGTAAACAAAGAAGAGGCATTTAAGAGTGCTGGGGACAGGGCAGGACAAGCCATGTGTATGCAGAGTTCCTCTGTTCATAACTGTGAGACAGGATTGTACCATTAATTTAAAATCTCTTGTTGGTTCCTACAAGAGACATTTATCTCCTTTCCTCATTGGGAAAACAACTACTCAAGCCAATGGGCACCTACTATACTATATTAACATATAGTATATACATGCACTATACTAATAGGCAATAACTTTATTTTTGTATATATATACACTATACTAATGTATGATACAATGGGTAGTTACTATACCATATTTACCAGATGTAAAGGATTATAGTTTCTCTGTCTCACCTCACTTAAACCAACACTTACATTTCTGAATAATATCATGACAATTGTATGAACAACAACAACAACAACAATAATAAGTTTAAAACCCTTCTTGATCTGGATTTAAGAGATTATTTTGGTATCCAAAAGAATTTTCTGTTTTGTTAATTTTTATGCTGTCTTGAAAGTGGATTTTTTCAATCAGAAACAATGTGATTTTTTTTTCTCATCTACTAAAGCCATTAGTTCTGGTCCTGGAAACAACATCAGCAGCATTTCCATCTGTAAAGTTGTACACCTGCTTTGGAAGATCTGGGACTGAGACAAAATAACAGAAAGCAGCAGGTTTCAATTTATATTTCACAAGGTTAGAGTAAGTGATGCACAGAAAAAGATAAAATAGAAAAAAAGCAGGAACTCCTTTTGCCGTTGAGCTATGCAGTCATGAATTCAGTCACTCACAGCTGTCACTGCTCTGTGTGAAAACTAAACCCTTCCCTTCTTGCCAGGATAAGCTTGTTGTGAAGTGTGTCTCGTG